TGAATGAGAGCCATTTGACCCCGTATGTTAGATCAGATCTTCACGGCTTCAATGGGGCCAGTATAAAACCTTGGGGATACGTCGATCTAATCGTCACCTTCAGGAGAGGAGTGATGGCCATAACCATTAAGACCCAATTTCTGGTAATAAGTTGTCCGTCTCTTTAGCAGTGCATCTTCAGGAGACCAAATATCATCGAGTTGATCGCAGTGCCCTCCATCGTGCACCTCAAAATGAAATACTACACTACTGACAGTTTTGTCGCAACCCTCCACGGGGTCATCCAAGCGGCAAGGAGATGTTTCGAAGCTTTAGCCAGAGGTTTCAGTTCCATCAATTTTCAACCTCAAACGATCACCGGAGCCGCACTGTCCTCTAGCTCTGAGGAAGCCAAGCCGCTACTAAGGGTTGGCGCCATCGACCTCGACAGCCGCTTCTCCAAAGAAGATTGTGTCAAACAGAGAAACAAAGTAAAAGAACCCATGATCGAAGCCGAGGGATCTTCCCCATCTGCTGGTAGCATGGAACTCTCATGGCCCATTCTGGACGGAGATTTCGAGCTCATCCCCCTCGAGAACGATCCCACCAGAGGAGTGAAGATAAGAGTTGGCTCCCCGACTTAGCAAAGAAGCAACTCGAAGCCTTCCTAAGGGAGAACGTCGACTTGTTCACCTGGAGCGCGACCGAGATACCTGGAATAGATCCAGAAATCACATGCCATCACTTGACCATAGATCCTGCCCTCAAGGCGGTCGCTCAGCGCAGAATAAAATAGTCCCCCGAAAAAACGGAGGCTGCCGAAGTAGCTGTAAAAGACCTTTTAGAGGCACGTTTTATTTCTGAAGCTCAGTACACAACCTAGATTTCAAATGTAGTCCTTGTACAAAAATCTAATGGAAAATGGCGCATGTGCATTGATTATACTAATCTCAATCAGGCTTGCTCGAATGATGTTTATCCCCTCTCCAATATTGACAAGTTAGTCGAGAACTCAACAATTTTTAGATTACTGTCGTTTATAGAGGCATATTTTCGATACAATCAGACTCCGATGGCCAAAACAGACAAAAAATACACCACTTTCATGACCGAATCGGGCAACTATTACTACAACGTAATGCCCTTCAGCTTGAAAAACGCGGGCGCTACATATCAACACATGATTAACAAAGTCTTTCGCAATGAAATAAGCGATATGCTCAAATTCTATGTGGACGACATGATCGTCAAATCTACGGAAGAGGTTGAACATGCCCTCCACTTAAAGAAAGTATTCGAGCGAGCACGAAAATGTCGAATGCAGTTCAACCCGGAGAAATGTACATTCGGGGTACGAGCGGGTAAGTTCCTCGGATTATATCTAACGGAACGAGCGGGCACCCGCTATTAAAAAATTAGACATTTTTCTTAAACATATGAAAACAACACAATTAATTAGAAATTCTGAATTTAACCTTAGACCTAAAAGTGGAGCCCATTTAGAACAAGGGAGATGAAGGGTGCCTAACACCTTCCCTTCGTCTAACCAACTCACAAATTTAGAATCTCTAAACAATTTGGGTTATCTGTTATTCCCCTGTCCTTAGGACAAAAATTAATGGTGGCGACTCTTTATTGTTTGCAGGTTACGACAATTGGCGAATCTATTGGGGACACAACTCTTGGGTTTAGAGTCTTCCCTCCTTTAGGTCTAGGGTTTCTTGGGTTTCTTTTTTCTATATTTGGTATGTTTTGTTTCTATATATGTTTGTTTATTTGTTTATTTATTTCATATTATTCATATTATCATATTATATATTGTGGATATGGGATTTAATTTAAAATATAAAATCAAACCTTAGAAAGAAGGATTGTCTATTGGAAAAGGGGGGTAAACACCCCTACAAGCTTTTGTGATGACTTCGCCAAGAGTCAGTTGAATTCCAAGGAAGAAATATCTTTTAGAGGGCTAGACTCTCTAGGAGGTAGGACTTCGGAATTTGTCCAATGAATCTTTGTATAACCCTGAACAAAATCTCATGGTGAGACCTTCTATGACCTAAGAGACGGAAGTCTCGGTCTACAAAGAGGCTTCACTTAAGGGAGACCCTTATGCCTTTCCCTCTAGTGTTATCCATTATACCCTTAAGGAAGCCACCTTACGAAGAGGATAGAATATTCGTAGGACGAAATTAGGAAACTACATACTAAGGATACCTTTCACAAATCTCACTACCATGTTACATTACCATTCATACACCCATCATTACATTTCAAATATTCATTTTTTTTGTTGCATTTATGTTGTCTTATTCACAAGATTTATGAGAAAAAATAATCAAAGTTTTTTAGTGAGTATCTTAAAAATGAATACCAATAAGAAAAAAATCATCCGAGTTAGCATTGTGATTCCTGGTATGCAAAGGACAAAGTTGATTATGGGAAAGTTGACTGACAAAGCTATGAAAATGTGTGTTCGATGCTATGGAGACATCCTTGAGTTGACCCAAGTTATTGTACAAGAGGAAGATGTTACTTCCCTAGCACAGTTCTATGACCCTCCACCCCGATGTTTCACTTTCCAAAATTTTCAATTAACACCTACTTTCATACCCCATTTTTTACCCCTAATCTGTTTATTCATAACATCATATGCATTTACATTATATATCATTCATTCATTGGAGCTCCAAAAGCATGGGATCCAAGGGCTCTTGACATTAGGGTTTTTCCTTATGGATTGAGGTTGCTACTTCACTCATGATTGGTTTAACTGGGCCTCTCATTACTCTTGGTATGGAACTAGGGCTTTTTAGATCACAAGCATCATGTACATTCTCCTCGATAAGATTCCTCAAGATACAAGGGTGTTTTCATCCAAAATTTATTCAAAGAGCATGTGCTTTAAGGTTTAACGTGTATGCTTAAAATTTCGTCATGTCCTCGTTGAGAATGTCCTAGAACCAGGGTTTTGTTCCTCAACATCTCAAGTCACTTCTTCACCTATGTGCATTCAATACCCAGATAATTAGGATTTCTCCTATGTTGTGCTAGGACATTAGTATTGGTTATTCAACAATGGTTCATTGAGCTAGGTTTCTCCTCAAGGCTACCAATGACCATCATTCTTTCTTTATTTCAAGTTCGTCATCATTTAGGGTTTCTCCTAATTACTTAGCCCTACAAGTCAAGCTCTTTTCAAAAGAAGTTTAGAGAATTGAATCATGTTTCTCTTATTTTGATACTTCTCAGATGGTTAAGGATTGGTTGAATATTTCATCAAATCAAGATGTTTCTTGTTGTTTAAGTTATGAATTAAGATCTCACCAAACTTTTTCAATAGGATTTGTGTTGCTTCTTGAATTTGTGATTCAACGGAAGATTGAGGTTCATTGACTAAGATGACACAAAAGATAAGTTTGTGAATTCTTTGTGAACAAGGTCATGTTGCATATTCAATTACTCGTTGCTTGCAATTTGATTTGGCTTCATTCAAGCTGGCAAGGCATAAATCAAATTTCGGCATTCAAAGCATAATTCAAGGTTTCACGCTCAAAGATTCAAAATCTATTCCATCCCAATTTCAATTTCCCAATGTCCATTTCATTAATCTAAAATCATTTCCAAAATGTTGCATCAAATGTCTCATAGAAAACCAAATTGGTATTAAACAGTTCACCCAATTCACTTACACTCATCATCACTCAATATTCATCAAATTACATCAATGTACATTAATCATCACCATTACAATATAGAAAAATGTGTAAAATTTACACCAAGTGTTCTACATAACTTCCTCTATCTTAATTAGTCTTCATGCTTCCATATCCCAATCTTCCTCCAATCTCCATATCCAAACTTCAAGACTTTTGTGCTCCTGTTGCAGCCCTGATTCAAAACCAGTTTACTAGCACTAGTTTACATTGGTTCAAGAAGAAGAAATGTAGCCCAAAAAAAAGTAACTGTCATGCTGTCAACGACCTCACATGAACCGATTCCAAATTCGTTTCAAACCTCTCCAAAACGGATTAAACATAAATATGCCTTGCTGTCCAAATTAAAGAAAAAGTGGTCCTGCACCAGTATGAATAGCCAGCAGACAATCCAAAAGAAAAACTTTTTTTAATCAGGAAAGGATGGAAAAGAAAGTCAGGAAATATTTCGATAATTATCAGAACACAAATGAAAATCCATTTAGCCAAAAATCAAAAGAAAAGCTTCTTTAACAAGCTTCTATCAGAGTTGATCCTCACCCTTGAATATTGCAACAGAATTTCCAAATTCAAGAGACAAGATTGCTCTTACCTGTAATAAACTTCTCAGACAAGCCAAGCCAACTACTGTATAACAGGCTTCAATCTTCATTGAGAGGAGGGGATTTTTCACTTCTAAAACTGCTCAGAGAAGCTTCAGAGTTCTCTCTGAGATCTCTAGAGATTCTTGGCCTTCATTAGCATCTCTTTGAGTTCTCTCTTCTCTGACTTCGCATTACCATAACTAGATTCCCTCTTCAATCTTCCACTACTTCATCATCTCCATAACCGCATTTTCTGCGTCAATCTCCAAGCAACAATCTGCAATGTGAAAAACAACAACGCTTCAGCCTCGTTACAAAAATTTATTCAGAACTGAACGCACAAAAACGCAGAAAACGAAATCAATGAAGAAAAGATGAAGGAGAATTAAAATCAAAACGAATTTTACCTCTGGATCTATAATTTTCTTCTTCGATTTGAAGGAGCACAGGACTTCCTCCGGTAGGTAAGCAACCTCCCTATCTTCATCTCTTTTCATTATCGTTCATATCATATACGTATGTTCGCGTTGAAAACATTGAGTTCATAAGCGAAACGAAGTGAGAACGACGTTGAAATCTGAGAGCGAGATTTTCAAAGTAATTGAAGGTGACATGATGCTGCTTGAATCGCGCTATGAAGGATAGCAAAACAAAGAGTTGAGATGACGAAAGAGAGCGAAATGCACGCAGAAGCAGATGGAAGCATCGACGGAGGGAGCATCTACGATTCAGCTGAGACAAAGATGTTGATGAGAGAAATCATGACGGTGTTGCGATTTGGAGAAGCAAAAGAATAGCTTGAAGTTGATGATGATGGTGACGCTGCGATGATCAGCGTAGAGCATGAGACGGAGGCCGAGTCGATGGAGATAATGATAGAAACGACGAATTCGAATCGAAGGTGACGAAGCCGCGAAGGATTTGAGTCTCCACGATGATTGAAGGTAGAAACAAACAATAATTTCGTATCGGAGAGAGAGGAAGGCAGCGCTGTTCGTGGTTGGAAGAAGAGAGAGCTGGGAGTTGTTTCACGATGAAGATGAACCATCACTTGTGTTAACCCCATCCCTCTCAAAACGCCAATGTTCCACATCATTTTCTTTTTTTAATTTCTTACGTTTTACTAAATAAAATTTGAAATGAAATAAATAATGAGATTTGGGAAAATGGAATTGGACCGAGGCCATGATCTTGGTGGGCTGAAGGTGTGCATTGGGTTTTATGTTCCTTGGCCCGTTACCTTTTTTTAGTTTCATAAACAAAAAAATATCATCTCCTGGACTGACTTTGCTGGACCGGACCACATTACCAAGGCTTGTTGTTACAAGTAGTTTTTGGAGCTTACAGCATTAGAGCAAAAATTTCTTCCTGTATCTTTCTGACTGGGCCTTGACGCCATTTTCTTACCAAACCTTTGTTTCTGATTTCACACCTCCCTCTATTTTCTCATTCTTTTAAATATTTCTCTTCCATTTTTAATTGTTTTAGTTTTAATTGATTTTAGGTATTAAAAAATAATGAAAATAATAAAAAGGATATATAAAAAAATGCTTTAATTTTTTTTTAGAAGTATTTTAGGATTTAATTAGATTTTATTCCTATTATTTCTTGATGTTCTTAATTTCTTTTTAAATCAAGTTTAAACATCATGTTTTATGTGTTCTCTTTGTGTAATATTGATCAAATAAGATGCTTGAGTATTGAGGTTTGTCTTGTGTTGAAATGCCATGCTCCTTTAGGATTCCATGAGACGATTAATCTCTCTTTTGATTGTTTTATGTTGATTAGACCTTAGATGTTGTACAAGCATGATGACATTAGGATATCTTTCCCTTTAGCTCAAACTTCGAACCATTTGAGATATTCTCCAAACCAAATACTCTAACTCATTCAAATCATCTCGTGCCTTTTGTACACTTTTCTCTTTAAAAATCTTTTCCCAAAAGACTAGACTCTTGTTGACCCTTGTAGTGATGCAAGCTACTATACTTCTACAATATGCAGTGAAGCGATTGACATTTTTCACCTGGGTGTTGAGTGATGTCTTTCTGATTTTAATTCAAGATTCTCCACTTTGAGATGATGCAAATGCTCCTTCCTCATAATTGTGGGTAGTAAGTATGTTTTCCACTCGGATACGAAAACATGTCTTTTATTAAAAAAACAATCAACAAATAAAACCCTTTTCAAGAAAGAACTACGAGTTTCTGATTCCTTCTGGGATACATAGGCATTGGGTTAAAAATCTGGACGAACGCAATAATAGAAAACTTTCTTTTTCCCAATTAACTTATTCATGCATTTTTAGCAAATAACTCTCTTCTAATAGCCAAAATACACAAATTTTTAAAGAGGTTCATGCGGAGTACCTTAGATGTTTAGGGTGCTAATACCTTCCTTTTGCATAACCAACCCCCGAACTTAGATTCTCTCCCCCTCTTTTTGGGGTTATTCTCTCTTTTCTCATTTCTCTGGAAACAATAATGCGCAGTGGCGATTTTTATTTGATCTGTCCGAGTTAAGTCAATCAAATGGCTTAGTCTCAATATTTCTACCACTACACCTATGTTGGAGGAATTTGATAGGATCCTGGATTTCTCTAGAATCAAGGATGAACCTTACATAGGGATTGGTCAGACTGTCAATGTCTGCGATTTGGCTAAAGGATTGGGAATACCCTTCACTAAATTGTTGCTCAATTACAAGAAAGATGGCGGGGTTCAAGGGATTAAAAGATAATACTTGGAAGCTAAAGCTCTCCTTTTTGCTAATAAGAAAGAATGGGGGCCTTATGTAGATTGTTTGACACTACTTGTTTTTGGTTTGATTCTCTTTCTGCATATTATGGATTACATAGATCATGTTACTATTAGTGTGTTTTGGGTCATAAAGGGGTTGAATGCTGATCCAACTCCCGCTTTACTTGCGGATGTTTATTATGATCTTCATACTCGTTCTGAAAAAGGAAGGGGTGTGTTGAATTGTTGTATCTCGCTCTTATATTCTTGGATTATCACTCATCTCTACAAAGAAAATTATATGGTTAAAAATATAACACGAGAACAATGGTCCCAAAAAATGAGGGCTCTCATTGCAGATTCAATTTTATGGTACTCAAGGAAGCTAAAGATAGATAAAATTGTCATTAAATGCAGAGATTTCCCCAATGTTCCCTTAATTGGATCAAGATTATGTATTAACTATAATCCCACTTTAGATTTGCATCAACTTGGATAACCTTTGGAAGATAAGCCTTTCGACGAGCAACTTCGGCAGTTAATTCTTCATGACATGGCTAAAAACAACCCCGATTTACTCAATAAGATCATTCAAGCTTGGAATAGAGTTCAAAAGAAAGGATTCAGAAGAAAGAATGTCGTGGCAAAGGAACCTTATACTCAATGGGTTTTGGAGAGAGTTCAAATAGTCAAGCTACCTTTTATTGTTGATCCCACCTATACACCAGATGTGTTGGATCTTCTTCCAATGTCTGTGGAAGAGATAGAAAACTTGAAGAAAGCCCTGGATCAAGCACAAAAAGAAAAGGAGGGATTGGTGTATAACCTCCATGACCTTACTAGGGAGAGAAGACAGTTGAAACAAGAGCTTGAGTCAAAAGAGCAACATATTCAAAGAGATCGTGAAGTGATTGAAAAAGAGAGTCTTAAACAAAAGCGTTCAATCGAAGGACTATTGAGTTCCATTTTCAACTTGGATTCCCACAAATAATGCTTGGATGATGTTGCTAGAGAAATTGGAAAGCTAAATATGTGGTATGAAAAAGCCCTACAAGACAAAAAGGAGATGAAGGAGAATCTAAGAGCCCAAATCCAAGGGCTAGCGGAAGGTGCTCTAGAACAAGAAGAGAAAATCAAGTATCTCACTACAAGACTCTAAGATAGCCAAGAATCGGATATAGGAGAATGCCTCAAGCGGATGAGGGAAGAAAGACTTCTCTCCCAAAAGATAAACGAATATGAAGAAGTTTGTCAAGAGTTGGAAGGCCTCCGAAAAAGCTTCCTCATTTAAAGGGAACGTTATAAGGAGATGAGGGCTGAAGAGATGTACTAGGAAGGACAATATGTGAAGATCACCCAAGCAAGAGAAGATAACAAGATCATAGTTCCTACGCTCTATAAGGAATATCTGAAATACAAGGACAAACATGCAAGGTTTTCCTTTTTGGCAAACAATCTCATTGGTGACATCCCAAGAAGTTTAAAAGATGCAGAAGTCGTAATGGTCCCTCTTCTGAAGGACTTTGAATACTTCCTCAAGCTTTGTAGGGAGGTGGTTGATGGTTTTAGGTCAGAGATCCATAAACGCACTTAGGAGATTTTGGTTTCCCTTTTGTGTTTCTTTCAGTATTTGACGTTTGGTTCAGTATTTTCCATTTGGTATTTTGTTTCAAACTTTTGGAGTGTATTTCCCTTTTAAGGTTGGTTTAATTCAATAAAAGTACTTTTGTTTCCGCATTCAAATGGTGTATTTATTTTGGGTTACTCGTCAATAAAAAGCAAAACCTAATAAATATACATAAGAAAGGAAATCTAACGTGAATAAGACAAGGATTAAAATTTTGGCATATTCATACACATTCATTTACAAGCATTGCATTTAGAAAATTTCATACATAAAACTCACATTTTCAAAATCAACTCTAGTTAAATCATTGGTAAACAAGCACCACCTCTCCGACCTTCATATCAAACTAGAGCTCGCCAAAAGAAAGTGATGGAACAGATCAAACAAAATCGAGCTGCCTTCCAAGAAGATTTGGAACAAGTGAAGGGTAACATCGACTTGATGAAAGGAGACATGAGTCAAGTTCTTATAGCCTTGAATAACATCATCGAAAGACAAGATCATATTCCTAAGGTAGCATTTGAAGAAGTAGCCCATACTATTGGTGCATCGAGCGGTCACCAACCAAGACAAAAACCAGAGTCATGTCCTCTAAAGTCAACTATGACTCAGCAAGAGGTCAAGCAAGATGGTACTGAAGGATTTGTCCCGCCTCCTCCAAAGGTAGGGGTATATCATACTTTGTAGATCTCAATCAACAATCCACACAAAGTGTATAACTACATAGACCTGTAGTATGAAGACCATGACTTGGAAGGCATCAACCAAGTGCCTCAAAGGGCTGCCCATACTAACATTGCTGAAAATCATATGGCACTGAATCAGTTTTAATCTCTTGAAGAAAGGTTAAAGGTTGTGGAGGGCTATGATGCTTTCGACATTGATGATCTCGAATTGGGTCTAGTTCTAGATGTAGTGATCCCTCCAAAATTCAAAGTACTTGACTTTGGAAAATATAAGGGACTCATCTTCCCAAGGAACCATTTACGCATGTACTATAGGAAAATGCATGCCTATGCTCAAGATCAGAAGCTGATGATCCATTGATTTTAGGATAGACTAAGTGGAGCATCTTTTGATTTGTATATGCAGTTGGAGGGAGCACATGCCCAGTCATGGGCAGATCTTGCTAACGCTTTCTTGAGACAATACAAGTACAACTTGGATATGGCTCCTAATCGCATGCAACTCCATAACCTATCTTAAAAGAAATACGAGTCCTTTAAAGAATATGTGCAACAATGGAGAGAAATGGATGCCCAAGTACAACCACCACTCCTCGAGAAGTAATTGGTTGGTATGTTCATTAACACGCTACAAGTCCTATATTATGATGAATGGTAGGTAGCGTCTCTTCCAGATTTTCTAATTTGGTAACAATTGGAATAAAGAATTGAAGCAGGTGTGAAAAGCGGAAAGATACAAGGGGCATCTTCCAGTACTTCTTATAACCCAAAGAAGCATACTCCGAACTTCTCAAAGAAGAAGGAAGGAGAAATTAATGATATCGCATCGCATCCAAAAGCTCAGCAACCATTTATAATCTCATGAGAACAATAACATAATAGGTTTGAAAGGCCTCCGAGAAGATTTGATCCTCTCCCAATGCCTCATAATCAACTACTACAACAATTACTCAAGGAATCTTTGGTAGAGTTGAAGCAATTAGCTCCTCCAATTGGGTCACCCTGACAAAAATATGATGCAAACGCCAGGTGTGAATATCACGCC